CCGGTGGGCCAACAACTGACGTTTGTGATTATGCTCCCACCTCTTAGCCTCGTTGTGCTTAACCTTACTCCAGATGCGGTACATGCCTGGCATCGCACCTATGCTTGTGAACTGGAATTGGGGATCCTTGGCCTTGGCTGTCGTCTTTCTAAGCGGTGGGTTGGCATGCAGCCGGTCTTCTCGACCAGACCTACACACCTGCACGCGTGAGACGCCTGTTACAGCTAGGGGCATTGAAAGTCCATAGGGCGTAATCCGTCCCAAGTCGAGGCTGCGATGCGGGAGGTCGTCCTGGCAGCGTCGAGGAGGCGCTGGGGCTCCAGCGGGGCCAGCTCAGTGGGGTCTCGTGAGGGCCAGGCTTCAAGTGCTATTTCGGCCTGGACGTGGTGGTGTCCCAAAGAGCGCTGAGCAGTTCCGCCTCTTGCGTAAGGTTCTCGGAGGGCCTCTCAGACCACGAGCCTCGATGAGGTACTGCAGAGCTGCGCCAAGCTTTCATATCTTTGGTCCACTTGTGAGCATTGCCTTGGGTACCTACCTTGACCCAATCCCTCCAAGCCCGAGGCGCCTCCTGCTTATCTAACCCGACAACCCGATCTATCAGCTTAGTTATGGTGTTAATAATTTCGTCCTCCAAACTATGTAGCCCGAGTATCATGTCTGACACCTGGTTCTTGTCATTCAGGATGATTAAGTCGAGGTACAGGGAGGTGCTGTTGAGGCACCATGTGTGGACATCGGACTCCTGATGCTCGGCGGGGGGACGCTCTGTGCAGCTGGAAGAAAACTGCTGCACTGCGTTTCGTGGCCACCGTAGCCTCGAGATTCGGTGGCTCTCCAAAAAGTGATTGCCTTGACCCACTTGATCCTCGGCGCGCAATCTCGAGGACGGGGGGAGGGTTTGAGGACGGTATCGGTAAACTCTGCAATGCTGTTATCAAAATTCTTGACAAGGTAATGATATACCTAATCAATAACGTTGTGCAATTACTCTGGTCCGAGACGGGGGCTGGATTGGAGCACATGTTCCGCCTGATCTAGGCTGGCTTCTGCGGCGTCCAAAGTCTGCTTTTACGCGCGGTCCAAAGACAAACTTGGTGGGCAGTCGCTGTGGTTTGCACAGCACCGGAACTGTGTAATTTTTCATGTGTCTGGATACTGATGGTGACGGGCCGATGAGGATATAGAGGGTAGCTGTAGTGTACTACTGGTTCTCCGAGGACCTGTTCCCAACAACTGCCGCGAACAACATAGTCCAGGGTCGATTGGCTGAACTTGGTTTTTAAAGTGTGTCCCTCGGGGGCACTGACCATCATGCCAGTCCGCTGCACAACATCATGATCCTGAATGCGCCTGGGATTGTTGTTAAAGTCGCCTGCCATGATGATGGGGAGATGCCAGCTCTCCTGGATGACGGCAGCAGCCGCTAGGAGGCCCAGGTTTGTCTCATTCAAACTAGTACTGACCTGCACATCGAATGGCCGTCGGCCGATCCCGTCACCGCGCCTGGGTTGTGGGTATGAAGCCTATTGGATGTTCATTGGGACCTCGTGGGAGGCCTCCCGGGGGCCTCTCGGAGGCAGTTTGGAGTCCTCTTCGGGGCCGTTTGAGGCCTCTTGGGGTCTCTTTGGGGCCTTTTGTGGGCCCCTTGAGGCCTCTTGGGGGCCTCCGTCGGAGAGTCGAAAAGGCGAGAGAGCCAACAACTTTCAAACACTGGAGGAACATCTTAGGCCCCCCCTGGGAAGGCCTCTTGGAGGCTTCTTGCGGCGTCTTGGAGGCCTCTTAGGCCGTCCGGGGGCCATCTTGATCGTTTGGGAGCGATCGTTCGGCGTCCCGGGGACCTCTTGGACTGTCTTCGGGGCGTCTTGGGGCCCTCTTGGCCCGTCTTCGGGCCCTCTTGGGCCCGAACAATCATGCGGGGAGACGTGGGGCAGCCCGGGGGACACGCGCCAAGCCCCGCCACATTTAGGAATGTGGGGTTTCAGGATTCTGAAAGACTCCTCAGGACTAGAGACTGAGGCTCCAGGGATTATGCGAATGACTTGAGGACACGCCAACTCCGTGCCCAGAGGCACGGTGGCAGATACGTAAAATAATGCCCACGCCTCCAAGCTCAGGCAGTTCCATTCTAACACCCACGAGACGTCCCTGAGGAATGAGTTGCTGGCCCCCCAGAGGAGTCTCCAGATCCATGATGCCAAACTCGAAACCAGAACGCACCATGATACAACCGCCAGAAGAGGGGTTCTGCGTGGAACTGAGTGTGCCTGCTTGAAATACTGCGTGCCATCCGCGCCTGCTGCGCCACTGGCCGGCCTGCGTGATGGCCTGCCCACTGCATAGCTTGACCTCCTGGGCACAGATGGCGCGCGTCTCCTGGTACAGCTGTGACTCCATGAGCTGCTTGACTGATGCCCAGCAGCTCCCGTTGACTGTCATCATGCAGGTCTGGCTACAGCAACTGCTGCTCCGCTGCTGCCGCTGCTGCGCTGTCCTCCGCGTCCTTCCGCGGTGAGCCTGAGCCGTTGGCCAGCTTGAGCTGCTTGGCGGTCTCGTCGTCGCTGAGGCCAGCCTGCTGGAGGCCGCGGATGGCGTCCTCAGTGTGTTGGGTCGCCCTCCTGCGAGCCTCTTCCGTGACCTCGTCGGGGTCGCCGCCGAACGCTGGGATGTCGACTGCTGCAGCGCCTGCTGCCGCTTTCAGCTGCAGGCCCCGCCTGAACACCAGCTGCCGGTGTTTGCTGACGTGGTGGGGACTGCGACTGGTTCTGGTCTTGTTGCCTCTGGATAACGTTCAGCACTTCGTCGATATCTGCCAACTTCTGATCAACTCCTGGAGACAAGTACTCGCGAGGGGCATTGATACGGGAGACGAGACGGTGATCTCTTTGGGCGCGCCGGACATGACTCCTTCCTGCGCCATTGAAGATGCCACTGCGCGCGTCGCCACCTGTATCTGCGCCTCTAGCCGCTGGATGTCCTCGTTGATCTCGCTGGAGGCTGACGGGGCCCTGCCATGCCGCTCAGTCAGCGTCGCCGTTCGGTAACCTCTCCGGCGGCGGTGGGCTGTGGGGACCCACAGCTGAATCGTTGCTAGAAAGCTGGTCGAGGCAGCCAGGCCTGCAAAAGGGACAGCCCTTCTGTTTCGACCTCGGGCCTCTGGGGTCGGGACGGGAGGTACAGTCGGACCGAGGTATAAGATCGGGGTCGGTCCGGGGAGGGTGCCTTCTGTTTGTGCGTGCACGGTAATGATTGGTCTTCTGGTGAGTGTGGCGCACCCAACATGTTCACGATGTGTATCGTAAACGTGTATGCTCAAGCTCGTCCTGCAGCAGCTTGGGCGGAGCGCCCCCTCCCCCGCGGGCAGTGCATGGAGCACGCGCTGCAGCTGGGGTACGCGGCTGTGGGCTCGCTGCTGGCGGCGTCGGTGCAGCGCCCGACGTGCGCGCGCGACTGCGCACCACCCGCGCCCGACGAGGGCGCGCTCGAGCTGTTGGGCCAGCAGCTCCAGCGGTGCGGACTTGATCGGCTCACCGCTTGTCCGCCTGCCGCGCCCTGCCCGCTGACGCCCGAGTGCCCTGGGGTGCTGGGCCCTTGCTGGCCGCCTTCGGCGGCGGCGCGCTGGCGGGCGGCCTGCTGATGGCGCTCGCCGTGGTGGTCCTCGGCGGGGGCGGCGCTCGGCAGCGAGCTCGCGAGGCGGCCTCGCTTCCTGTCCATGCGGCGCGGCCGTCCATCGGGCCGCCCCCAGCGGGGGAGGAGCTGGCGGCGACGCTGTCGCTGGAGGAGGAGGAGGATGAGGAGGCCCGCGCGCAGGTCGAGAGAGTTCGAGCTCGGCGCGATGGCCCATCCGCCCACGGACCTAGGTCTGCGAGAGGGGGACTTCGTGGTGGTGGAGTTCAACTGCCGACCCGGGGACCTGCGCCTCGAACCGTTGCGTGGTCTACCTTCCCGACGGAAGGACGTAGCAGGTGGGCTTCCTGACGCCGGGCGGCGGCTGCTACCTGGAGGAGTGGGACCTGCCCGACGTGGCCTCCCGGGCGCAGCTGCCCAATTGCGTGCAAGGCGGCGGCCTGGGGAACCCGCGTCCGCGCCCCTACCGCTTCCGCCGGGTGCCGCTGTCCAGGAGCTCAGGGCCCACGGGGGCGCCTTGGCCCGCCTGTGCCGCCGCCCCCCGCCAGGACTGCCGCTGGTGCCGAACGTCGGCTTGGGAATCGCAGCGCTGGATGCCCCTCCGCCACTGCCGCCCCCCTGCCAGGGTCCGCCGACCCCTGGGGCGGGAGAGGTTGGGCTGCTTCCGGGGCCCGCCAGCGGCGCTGCGCCCGCTGCAGGTCGCCCGCCGAGCGCGCGGGTGACTGCCGAGGAGCGGGGCGGCATCGCGCGGCTGACGCTGTGGGGGGCGCCCCCGGCCAGTGGCGTGATTTGCGGCCGCGCCCTGGCCCAGCGCGCGGGGAAGCCGCTGGTGCTGATGCTGGTGCCCGAAGGAGATCTGGGTCGCAGCGCGGTCCGAGGCCTGGACGCGGTGGGGCCTCGCGCAGGTCAGAAGGACGATGGCGAGGACGACCTTCGCGCCCTTTCCGCGGCGTGGGGCCGCGTGAACGAGCGCCGCCGCTCCTGGGGCAGCGCGGTGGAGAACCTCTGCGACAAGAGTTTCACGGACTGGCCGCTGATGGGGCCCAGGGCCGCGGCGTGGCTATGTCGCCACATCCGTCTCAACGGAGGGGGCCCGCCTGCCTTCTCCACGCGCGCGGTGCGGGGCATGAGGATGGCCGAGAATGATCGCGGCGCCTGCGCGCTCGAGGTGTCACTGATCGCCTTGGAATTGGCCGGCACGGTTGACCCACTACCCAGAGGTCTTTTTTTTCGGAAAAACTTGTTTTTTCTAGCTACTTCTTTGTTTTCTGAAACCACCTAGTGTGCGGACTAATTTTCTGAAACTGTTTTGTTTCTGAAAAACACGTAGTGTGAGTGCGTGCGTGCGTGAAAAAAACGTGTACACAACATGCGCGTATAAATAGGATAATGAGAAGGATGAGGGGGGAATTTTGTACGGAGGATGATGAGTATTGTAAGGAAAGAACGGAATATGTCCACAGGAGGAAGGATGGAGGAAAATAAATACTATAGGGAGGAACAGATAAGCAAGAAAAGGAGGAAGAAGGGAGGAGGGATGACGGAGACGCTCGTCCGTTTCGCAGGCGCATCGCTCAGGCCCCGAGGGAGGTGCGCGTTTTCGCGCGGGGGCCTGCGAGGGCCATGGCCCTTCGCGCTGCGCACCTCGAGCGCGGCAGCAGCAGCAGCGAGCGCCCGGACTGCCCCCACTCGTCCCCCCCCACATTTGCCCCCCCCCCCCCCCCCCCCCCCCCCCCCCCCCACCCCCCCCCCCCCCCCCCCCCCCCCCCGCCCCCCCCCCCCCCCCTACATTTGTTCCTCCCCAGGACGCGGCCACCGCGTTCATCGACCTCCCGCGCGACACCGCGCAGGCCGCAGCTGCGGCAGCTTTGCGCCAGCAGGTGTTTGATCACGTTGCTCCTCCTCTGCCTGCACATCCTCTTCGTGCGTTTTACTGCTCCACCCTCTGTTCCTCGTCGTCCTGCTCCTCATCCTCCGTCCTCTTCATCTTCGCATGTTCTCGTCGATCGCCGTCCTTACCCACTCCCCGCTTCGGGGGATCACCCTGAGATCCTCCTCCTCCTCCTCCTCCTCCTCCTCCTCATCCTCCTCCTATTCCTCATCCGTCCTCGTGCACTCCTCGAACGGTGGAGACCCAGACGGTGGTCGACTCCGAGCCGCTGGTCGTGTCGAGCCAGCCTCAGAAGCCCATCGACGCAACCTCGAGTGACGACACCAGCGACACCAGGCCGCTCTCGAGTGTAGTGAAGCGCCGTGATCAAGATCCTGATCACACAGCTGGGCCGCAGCAGAAAATCCAGAACCAGGGTGCGGCTTCCAGCTCGTGGCAGCGCGACGCCCAGATGCCAGCAGGCTACAGCCAGGTGGTTGGCATGACCCCCGTCCCGCCCCCAGTGCCGCAGCACGCCCCAGACAGCCAGGAGATCCGTCTCGACGCCAGGGTGCTCGAGACGCACGAGAGGAGGCAGCAAGCAGCGCAGGACCCAAAAACTAACACAGAGGAGGAGGAGAGGGAGGAGGAGAAGGAGGAGGATAAGGAGGAGAAGGAGGGGAGGGGGAGAAAGAGGAGGAGGAGGAGGAGGAGGAGGAGGAGGAGGAGGAGGAGGAGGAGGAGGAGGAGGAGGAGGAGAGGAGGAGGACGAGGGCGCAGGAGGAGAAGGAGGAGAGGAAAGGGGAATAATATTGGACGGGCAAGTCTCCTTGGGGGGCACCCTGACGAAGTGCGCGTCTGTTTGCCACTTTTCGCGGGATCTGGAAGGTCGTTCGGATCGAGTTGCACGGGGATTTGGCTTGGACCTCGCTGCTCCCTGGGGGGGGGGGCTGCGAAATTCGAGGCGTTCCAACTTTCGCGGGCTCCTGGAAGGTTGCGCGGAGTAGATTTGCACGGGGGCCCAGTTGGGATCTCGAGGCTCCGTGGGGGGCTGCCAGGTGCGCGGCGGTCGCCACTTTCGCGGGCTCCTGGGAGGTCGCGAGGAGTGGATTTGCACGGGGATCCAGTTAGGACCTCGCCCTGCTCGCGCCCCTTCGCCCTCCTCGCCCGCCCCAGTCTCTTTCACGTCAGGGTGGAAATGTCGGGAGCTTTGGAGTTCGATGACTATCCAGATCTCCTCGCCAACCTATCGTTACGACTGCATTTGCAGTCGCAACGATAGGTTGGACCCCTCCGCCATGTCACAGCTGCGCCCCCTGACCTGAGAGCGGCTGAGGCTGCCCCATGTCACAACCTGCCCCCTGACCCCGAAGATCAGTCGTGGCGACTGATCTTCGGGGTCCAAGATGTTGTGGGAATGACTGATCTTCCTAACCATCCCAGCTACCCTCACCCCGGCTTCCTGGCTTCGGGATGGGCCCTCGCCGACGCGGCCGGACGCAGCTCGGGGCCCGGCCAGATATCTCCTGCAGCAGCGCCCCCCCACCAGGCGGCAGCGCGGAGGCCTCGGAGATCGACGGACGTCCAGGCAGGCAGCCGGCGAGCAGGACCGAAGCCCCAAAGGGTAGGGGGCAGTTGGTTGTCGTACGGATTGTTGTTCGATGGTTTACCCGAAACTTACCCGAAAAAAAATTACACCGAAACCTACCGAACTTACCCGAAACTTACCCGATATTTACCCGAAACTCACCCGAAACTTACCCGACACTTACCCGAAACTTACCCGATATTCACCCGAAACTTACCCGATATTTACCCGAAACTTACCCGAATCTCGCCCGTAACTTGCCCGAATTTACCCGACACTTACCCGGAACTTACCCGAAACCTACCCGAAACTCATCCGAAACTCACCCGATATTTACCCGAAACTTACCCGATATTTACCCGACACCTACCCGATGCGCACTCGATTGTCACACGATGTTTATTCGTTTTTTACACGATTTTTACCCGACGTGTACCTGATGGCTGTCGTCCGCCCCCCCCCCGGCCGCCGCGCTCTCCGCTGGGCGCCTGCAAGGGGCGCGAGCTCGAGATGGAGCTGGAGGCCGCGGCCCAGGCCCCCGCAGCGGCCATGCTTCTCTCCACCCCGCCGCCCACGCGTGGCCAGTGTTTGGCCATATCCGGCCTCCAGGGATCTTATTGGGCCCCAGGGCCGAAACAGAAAAAAATCAGGATGGCAAGCTGGCCCTGGGGAAGGCGTGCACTTTTCCATTGCATCACTTCGCCCTCTGTCCCCCCTTACTGTTTGACGCTTCGCGTATACCCACCAGCCCATCTAGAAACGATGCGCAAGAGAGTTGACGGGGGGCGAGAGGAAGAAACGCGCATGGTCGAACAGCGAGGGTGGCATGGGGGGCTCCGCGGCCATCTCGAGCCGTTTTGGAGCGGTCTCGGGGCCGCTTGGAACATCTCGGGAGCCTCTTGAGCTGGCTTGGGCTATGAGAGCCATCTTGGAGGTCATCTTGGGCTCTCTGAGACCCCTTGGCGGGTGCCTCTTGGAGCCTCTTGGGGCGCTCTTGGGGCCCTCTTGGGGGCCTCTCGGGAGCCCTGGAGCGCCTCTTAGGGCCATCTTGGAGGCGGTCGGTCAAAAGAGTGCGGATCCTAGATTCCCCCCTCCCCTCGAAGGCTACGATCCTCGTGAGGGGTGTCAAAAATGGCCCTCCCAGGGGCAGAAACATGGGCCTCCAACACCTCGCGATCTCCCCCAAAAAGCCTCAGGGGGGGGTTGGTTCCCCTCCCAGAAGAGAAGAGGGGTTGTGGAAGCCCTCATCAGACCACCTGCCGCCCAAAGGGCTGGTGAGATTCATCCATCCGATATCCTCAATTTCTGTGTCATCCGTCCTCCTTCAAACCTTGTCCGACATCATCTTCTCGTCCATCCCGCAATTCTTCCCCGTCTCATCCCTCCATCGCCTCCGCATCCTCAATATCATCATTCCTCATGTCTCTCCTTCCTGTCTCATTTCCGCGGCCATGCGGGCACGAGGGGGTCGTGCATGATGGCGTCCCCAGGAGAGACAGAAATCGAGTTCTCGGCCCTCGGACACGCCCTTCAGCCTTCAGTTCAGAAGGCGAACTCTGTCAAATACATACACGGCGCTGGAGATGGCACTGGTGTCCAGAGGAGCGCCATCGAGGCGAATCGCGACCTGCTCCAGCGGCTGGTGAAGGTCTGATACACAAAACCAATGGTACTTAACAACCCAGACCCCCCCAACGGTTGCTCGACGAAGGGCGAATGAGCCACCAACAACACCACCAACAACAACAACCGCAACGCCAACAGCAACAACATGCAACAACATCAGCAGCAGTCGCACCAGCAGCTGCAACATCAACACCACCGACACAAGCACAAACACCAACAACACCAACAAACCCAACCAACAACATCAACACCCCCAACACCAACAACGACCGCGGCAACAGCAGCAGCAACAACAACAACGCTGATAGCGACGATGATGATGATGACAACAACAACTACAACATCACTTAACCACAGCAATGCCAGCAACATCATCAACACCACCACCATCAATTACAACAGCCGCATAGCCAAAACTTGCGCACATGCACAATGCACGCAACAACAGCATCAACCGCAACGACAATAGCAGCAACAACAATAACAATACCAACAACACTACCAGCAACGGCACTAACAGCAACAACAGCAACAACAGCAAACACAACGCCAACAACAACGACAACAGCAGCAACAGCAACAGCAGCAGAGGCTGGCAGGGTAGTGAAATGATTCGGTGGTCGATACGATTGCACGGGGGGCGACTCAACTTTCGCGAACTGCAGTGAATGCCCCGACGATCGTGTCTACTAAACAGGTCAACTCCACGCTGGCCATCAAACGCAAAGAGATTTCAGCTGCCCTCGTCGCCGCGGCGAGCCACAACAAGCTCACGTTCAAGAGCAGGCAGAAGAAGGGCGAGCGGAAGGATGAGATGAGCAAGCGGGTCAAAGACATGATTCGACACGTTGCTCAATATCGCTGCAAGAGCTCGGCTCCGAGCTGGCTCACCAAGCTCAGCCTGGACAGGGGCGACCTCAAGGGCCTCGACTCGGACGAGGAAGTGGAAGAGGAAGCGGCGGGGGAGGAGGAGGCCGAGGTCGACGAAGTCGAAGACGACGACTCGGACGAGGTGCCGATCGTCAACAAGAAGCCAGCGGCCGCCCGCGTCACCGAGAAGAAGGAATCCGTAACTAAGATGGGTAGGGAGGAGGTGATGTACGACTACGGGTACGACTCGTGCGCGAATATGGCCTACAGATTGATCGCCGGCCGCAAGAAGCAGGTCCCAGAGCATGCCGCAGAGATGAACATCCCGAAGAAATCGCAGCCCACGGACGCCATGATCGCCGTCTTCAAGGACAGCAATGGGGTCGAGATTGGCAGTGTCACGGACGGCTCAATGCGGCGAAGGAGGGGGAGGAGCAACTGGTCATGAACGGCGGCAAGAAGCTCCGTGACCCCGCCAACCAGGGCTGGTTGGGCAAGACCTCCGATGGCACGAAGGTGGAGGCCCTTCTCCGAAGCAATAACAGGAAGAACTACCCTCCACAGAAGTTGACGTGCATCAAGGTCGGCGACGACCAACTGCTGCAAGTCGACGTCAAGCACTTCGCCACGAAGCTCGCGGAGGGCAAGTCGCTGGAGCAGACTGCCCTGGACTGGGCGCCAACCCTCGCAAAGGATTTCGCCAAAGGCAAGGTCGACAAGAAGGGGGCGCTGGAGATCAATACCAAGTTCTTGACAGTATCGGGGCGACGAACTTCCGCAGCGGCAAGCAGCTGCCGCGCATGAAGGCGCCCAAGAAGCCCGTGGGCAAGGACGCGGCCGTGACCAAGAAGGCACAGGCCAAGGCCGCCACGAAGCCAGCTGCCGCGGTCGTCGAGAAGGAGAAGGTCAAGGCCGAGGGTGAAGTCGCACGGAGGCGGCGGTCCTTCCTTTTTCTCTTGGGGAGCGGCCAGTAAGGCCAACGGTGTGGGACGACTCCGAGGCGCCAGCCCTTAGCCAAGTAAGAACTCCTTAGGCGAACCTAATAATGGAAAGTCTGGGAGGATCCGAAACTGGAGGCCCGCGGTGGATGACCAAACCAATGCCACTCAAACTATCATGATGCATGGCGTGCGCTGAAAGGAAACTGCTGGCCTCGCTCGATGTGGGTCACGCGTGTGAGATCGGATCGGGCGAGATAACTCGCGACTCTGTTATGTGGGTGGATATAGTGTAGATGGCGTTCGCCTGAGATACCATAAGGGCTGTTATCGAGACATTGAACATGCAAGCGCTCGTGCCGACGATATGTTGGACATGCAAACACTAGAAGCGTATCAACACGTAAGGTGTGGCCCGTGTTGTTTGAGACATCTTCGCGTGTCATGACCTGCCCCGACACATGCCCCGACGCCCCGAACCATGCATGCCTCCTACTTCGCTAAAACGAGTCCCGCACGCGTATCAGTTCCCACCCAAACACCCCAAACATGTATAGTCAGTAGCCTTCTTCGCTCGAGCGCAGCTGACGCGCAGATCGCAGCGCATGCCAAGACGGCGTGAACGATTCGGATTCGAGAGCAATTCCCCTCCAGAGTCGGAGCACGTGTTTTCCTGGGAGCGCGACCAGCCCGATCATGCACATGACGATGCGGCATTCACAGATTCGACTGGTTTGGAGCAATACTTTCTGCGATTGCACTGCACTGGCACTCTGAGTGCGAAAGATGGATGTTTGATGGCCCGCGAGGCGATTACCGCGGGGGCTCGTGGCGAGTCATTGGAAAAGTTAGCGTTGGGCCCTGGGAGGCAGACAGGTAAGCATGCGCAGCACTTGCGTTCAGTATTGCCCGAACAAACACGTGCACCCGAACTGCATTACCTGGATGTTCCCGTGATTAGCCGAAATCATAGAACGACAAAGTCGATTCCAGCATCGCCGCCCCATGCATGTTTGGACGCAGAGCTTGAAAGGTTGCGGGCCGAGGGGGCGATGATAGAAGGCATGCTCGCGGAGTCAGTGTGGTCCGGCGTGCATGAGAACCACCCGCGCAGACATCGGCCCTCGGACCCTCGCCCAGTGTTCCCGATTGCAATTTACTTGGGCGGTATCAAATACACGAGGTCGATAGACCCTGGCCATGCTGATTCGCTGATGGCGGTGACATGTTACAATTCGCAACGCTCCGCGCATCCCCGCCAAACCATCCAGAAACGACGCCCATGATATTTGACGGAAGGGGAAGTGGAAGAGACGCGCATAGCCAAACAATTGGTGAGGTTTGGGAGGCTCCGTGGCCATCTCGAGCGGTCTTGGGGCGGTCTTGGGGCCGCGTGGAGCATCTTGGGAGCCATCTTGAGCCAGCTTGGGCTATCTGAGCTATATTGGATGTCATCTTGGGCTCTCTGAGGCCGCTCGGAGACCTCCTGGGGGCCCCTCGGGTGCCGCTTGGAGCCTTCTTATTGTTTCTTGGGGCACTCTTGGAGTCTTCTTGGGGACATCTTGGGAGCCTTGGAGCGCATCTTAGGGCCATGCTGGAGGCGGTCGGTCAAAAGAAGGGGGGTCATGGAGCCCCCCCCCCCCCCCCCCCCCCCACCCCCCCCCCCACCTCGATGGGCCCACGATCTGTGAGGGTGGTCAACCAATTGGCCCTCCCAAGGGCCGAAAAAAAAGGAGCCCCGACATCTCGCGACCCCACCCAAAAAACCCTCGGGGATGGGGATGGGGAGGGTTCCCATCCCCGAGGGGGAGAGGGGTTGTGGAAGAGGAAAGAGACCATCGCTAGACCACCGCCCAAAGGGCTGGTCGGATTTGTGCACGAACTCCAGACACATCATTGCTGTGCAGAGCAAACGAGAACAATGCAAGTGCGGCTGCCGCGGCTGGGACACTTTAAACGGAGAAGGTTAAAGGCGAGGTATAAATCGAGCATGTACCGCTGCCGTGCCTGGCTCAAGCCGGGCCCGGCCTAATATGTGACTGTGCCTCACCGAGGCGCACTACTTGCATCAGAGATCGGAAAATCCCTTTTCCATTGACGATGCCCATCCTATCTTTTACTCCAGATCCCATGCTTCGTCTCGCACTCTTGCTCATGCGATATGAGCCTAAGCCTGGGATATGGGAGCGCCTAAGGCGGACTACATACCTAAGCTTACCAGCTTGTTTTCGACTTGGTAGCGGAGCTGGCTACACTCTCGTGTGGCTGGCTCTCGCTCTGATTCCTTTAATCCACGGCACAACTTGGTGGACTACTACTACGGTGGAATACCATGTTGCGCCGGCTCTGCGAGGAGCGGAGCCAGTCCGCGATCGAGCTAGCGGGGTAACCCGCGAACTCGAGACGCTTTCTCCTACTTCACTGCGCTACTTCACTCCCGACTTCCACCAGATGCCAATCGGCAACTCGATCGAGAAAGTGGTCACCCTGCGGGGCTACCCGCAGCGGGGCCACCTGCATCCCGTGCCGGTCAGGCGCCTCACGGCTACCACGCCAGAGCCTGACAAACCACAGCCTAAACCAATCACCGAAGCCGAAATGCATAAGCATTGGATCAAGATAACTATCTTCGGCATTCTATGGGTGATAATGGGATGTGCTGTGGGATACATGCGGCAGGGGATGGACGACACGCGTACTACCGGCCCTTCGTGGGACCCTGCCGGTACTACGCCTTTTCGCGAATACGTTCGCGAAGTACATGCATGGATAAACGTAACGAGCGGCAATATGACACCACCACAACAAGCTGCAGCACTACAACGAGGCCTTCAAGGTCTTGCTCGTCGTATCGCCATGAAGGTCCCCTCCCAGATCATCAATTATGGTGTAACTGTCAATGGACAGCCAACGGATGCAGTAACCTACATACTGTACTTACTGAGCAACAAATTTGAAAATCTGGAAGATGAGCGCCAGCTCAACTCTGGCACGGCCCTTATCGACTTCCGCGTCGAAAGGGGCGAGCGAATCGACTCAGTATTAGCTCGATTCGAGATGGCCCGTGACGAGGCTAACTCTGTTGGCTTTGTCATCCCCAACTTTCAGATCCTAACGCTGATTCTCTTCAGAGCGTTAGGCGTTGGCGCGTCACGAGCCCAACACCTGCTTGAGCCCGTCAATCATCAGATGCCCCGAACACAAGCAGACTATGACAGGCTGCTGACCAGGATGAGGAACTACGGACATGTTGCCGAGCGCTCTCCTGGCAACATAGCGGGCATCTTCACAGGGCACCACTCACATGCAGGTGTTTACGCCACGACTGCGGGGTCACCCGCTGGTCCTGGCGAGCCAAATCCCTGGGCTGACCCAGCCGATATGCCCAACGAGGCCACTGCCCTTCTAGGGCAGACCGGCCAGGTATCGGCAGAGGCAGCTGAGGCAATCGCCTGGTCGAACTACTCGCCAGGCGCCGCCTACACTGCAAGCCCGCCCTCGGGCACAACCCTCTGGGGCCAAGCGGAGTCATCCGCTCAATGGTCTCAGCCACCCTCACCGTTTGAATCTGGCACTGACACAGATACCTCATCTGACGATGAGCACAATGGAATAGTCTCTGCTGGTAATGACTATCCAGCGGATGACACTCACCTTTCTGAACAGCAAAGGGCGGAAGCCGCCTTATGGCTTATCGCAAATCAAAACGCCGTTGGAGGCGCTTTATGAAGAAACCAGTCAGAAAGGTGAGACGTGCAGTACGCCGACATTTCAAACAATTTGGAAAGGGTCGTGGTAAAGGGGGTCGCAGACGCCGTATGCATGGTAGGGGTATTACTGCTTTCCTCACGTCCTTAACTGATATGGCTTTTGAAGAAGTTCTTATCGGAGGCAAAGGTCGGGGTCACAGGCGGACCTCCGGTAAGGAAAGGGGCGGAGGGGCAACCCTAGGGACGCTTCTGGCAATACTATGAAGTGTCACACATGCGGTAGCACAGAGCATTTGTGCGATCAATGCCCGAAGGGGAAAGGAAAGGGATCCGTACACTTGGCTCAAAATTCTTTTATGGATGACATAGATTACATTGACTACGAGTTTTACGTCAATCCAGAAGCGGCTCCCGCTGCGGGCTCCTCCACGCATTACGTGATGGCCCGCTATGCTGAAGCAACTGTGGCCCTGGAAGACTACGCAGTGACCCTCTTCGACGAGTTCCACGGCTGGGACGAGGTCGATGAGATTGCGTACAATGCTTGGTTCGGTCTTCCAGCGGGGCACCCGCCGGTGACGAGGTCTCCGAAGCCGAGACTGTCCCGGCAACAGAGGAAGAACTCACCGCCGCGCTGGCCCCACAAGTGATTGGCATGCCGTTGCTGCCAAATCCGTCATGGGCTGGCTCGGAGATGGGAGACGCCGATGACGAAATGCGGGGCCATCCCGCGTATTCCGACTCCGAAGAATCCGAAGAAGATTATAACGACATGCTCCAAGAGCAGGTTTCAGAAGCAATCCGACTCTTGAGTGCGCCAGCACAGCAGCAGATGACGATGAGCGAACTGCTGTCGCACCCAGGAGTTGCCCGTCTACGTCCATACTTGGATTCGAACATGTCAGCATCACAGATGCTTACAGCACTCCAAGCTCTAGCGGGGTCACCCGCTGAAGAGATGCCAGACACAACAGCGGGGCCACCCGCTTGGTCTATGGACGTATTCATGCAAGGTTGTGATCAAATGAACATTAACGACCTCTCGATGGAGCAGTTAAATGACATCGGATACTTCAGAAGCCCGTATCAAAACGTGTT